TCCTCCCAATCACCCTTTTTACCCAATCCAGTGCATGGGAACGGTTGTCTTGCTCCAGTCCAACATTCCCATCGTTCAACTTTCTTAATCCCAGAGGGGTTGACTGTGTAACGCTTAAACAAAGAAACGTCATCCATCAAAATAATACCTTGGGTATCATACCATCAGCTCATATGTGCAAGGGGTGGATCACTTGGCTGTTTCTTCATTGAAGAGGGATTGCAAATTTGAAGGGTGGAAAGCGAGATAAGGTTGATACGCTGATATCATGTTTGGTAGGGTTACACAAATAGGCTACACAAGTTGGTTCAGGAGTGAAGTTGCATAACTAATCGATCGATGTAATCCGCACAGACCAAATAGCTTAATTACGAGGGCTGTTCTCATTTGAAATCTTGAGCAGTGATCATTCTTATTGAGCCAAGCGCATAGGATATTGTGGAGGTTACGTATAAACAGTAATGGCTGTAACAAGCGGGGTGGTATGGAGTGCACGAATTGGAGCAAACAGGAGGAACAATGAAACCACTCTTCTTCACTTCCACTTCACAAAAAAAGGTAAGCTTGTCTCCATTTACAAACTACAACGCGTTAATTGCTGGCATTTTCTTACAATGTACAGCGTTCATTGAGGTGAACATGTGGTCAATGGCGACACTTTCCAGCTGCAGACATTCAGCAACAAGTACGCGCGCGATCTGCCCATGACTCAAGCTTCCATTGCAATACAACATGTACGTTCGATCGCTGCATTACTTTATTATTCAACTTGGACATTGAGATACTAAAGTTCACGTGTAGTTTGCTGTTCTCTCGTTATACAAGTTCCAAAGGGGGCATCGTGTGTCGTGTGTATTCTATTCATGGTTGCCATCAAGGAGACGTCCCAACACATTGTTACTTTGGGTATGTCGACATGAAAAGCGAATGCTATCCTTGTTACCTTACATTGCATTTACTGTAGGTTGAATACGTTGTATGATGGTACCCTCTGGCAGCAACAACAAGACATTGATATCAAAGCAAGAACGCTGTACGTTGGCTCAATGGTATGCATGGTGTTTGATCTACAATGCAGGACCACTTAATTAACGTGCCTTACAATGAAACAGCAGCAAGACAATATGGATGACATGGAGATACGGGTTTATTTGAGGCATTGATGCTATTGAGAAATACCACAAGGTAAGAGTGTTCATTATGATGGGATTGGTTGGATTCAAGTGGACTTACCAAACACCATACAGTGGCAGAGCCTCTTTCGGCGATACTATTATTATCACGGCTGCACGTCAAGGATGTCATTGTATAGTACTGTGCTCTCCTGGGGAATTTTGGCCCGGAAACAGTGTGACTCAAGATGCGATGGCAAGGCCAATTTGAAAAGGCATCCGCTGTGCACACGGCCTCCATCCAAGTACGGCTATTGATTTCCTTGCCTACAGAGAGAAGGTGGATATCTCTTATGATGCCAATTTCAGGATCCAATGAGAGTATGGTACATATGGTGGCATACCTTGGCGTTGCAGGTTGATTATTGTATTGCCTTCGGATGGTGTATTTGGTTGCAATTCCTTGTGATCACCATGGTTCAGGTATGTAGGACTCTCGTGCTTTTTGGAAACCTTTGCTGAAACGCCTACCATTATTTAGAGGGACTATTGCAGAGAGCTGCTTGTCTTTTGGTGCTTTGGAGCTTACAAGAGCACAGCTATGATTGCTAAGTATTGTTGGATGAGTTGGGACAATTGTTTATGGTGCATCTTTTATAGGTGAATCATGTCAGCCATGGGGAAATGCTTATGTCTTTGGTGGTGTCAACCTTTATTGCGTCTCGGGTGTTAGGTTACCAAGCAACGGGCGATTTCTCTGGAGAATGTCAGCCAATGAACGTCTTTTATGAGTGGATTGTATCAGCAACAAACAACAGCATCCATATCGTTGGTTGCATATCAAGCTTTATCCCATCATCTGGTTCTTCTCGTTATCGGCAATTCGGTGGGCATCCTGAAATGAAGGTCTCTTATCGATTGATCATGTCAGCAACAAGGAGCAAGTTTATACCTTTGGCGTCAGCAAGCTTTCGATCATCTCGTGGTTCTGATTATCGGCAATTCCTTTGATGGATCTCTACAACTATACGCGTCTTATGGATGGATAATGTCATCAACAAGCAATGAGAGTCCGCGTTGACATCTTTGGTGTTACCAAGGTCATTTATGCATCTCCTCAAGGCATTCATCGTCAAGCTGCATTCGATTTCCAATGAAAAACGATTGCCATTCACATCGCTCTTTAGCCATATGTACGTCACTCCGCAGCTAGGATCTGGTTTGAGCTTTTCGATGCACAATGCTTTCTCGATTTGCATGTGGTCTTGGGCAGCAAGGATTGTCTCGTTGTCTCTCTTTGTAAGGGCTCTTCGGCATCATGTAAGTATGTTATCTTTGGTGGTATCAATATTACTCAATCTTCTCACTGCATATGCCCATAAAGTATCGTTCCATCGCTTTCAAGCCGAGTGCCACCGTAGCGGGCCTTATCAACAAGCGGACGATTGCAAAGAATCGGCTTGATTTGGATATCAGCAGGATTTCGTGCATATGGCTATCATTGGTAAATAGAGGATGATCCGTTTTTTGGCTCCAATCCCAACCAACATCCTCTTTTATTATAGTGTGCGGACTATTCAGCAATCTGCTTGTCTTCTGGTTCTTTGGGATTTTCATGGATGAAACTGTCATTGAATGTCGACATGTTTTCGTGCGTATGGCTATCATTGGTAAATAGTGATCCGTTCTCTTCTTCAACGCCTGCTAACCTCCTCTTTTATTATAGTATGTGGGATATTCAGCAAGCTACTTGTCTTCTGGTGCATTGGGATTTCTATGGATGCAGCTGTCATTGGATGCCAACATGTTGACGTGCATATGGCTATCATTGGTAAATGATGATCCCTTTTTTGCTACAACCCCAACCAACCTCCCCTTTTATTATAGTATGTGTGCTATTCAGCAAGCTACTTGTCTTCTGGTGCATTGGGATTATCATGGATGAAGCTGCCATTGGTAAATAGCGATCCATTCTTTCTTTCAACGCCTACTAACACCCTCTTTCATGTGGGTTATTCAGCGAGATACTTGTCTTGTTCCCTTTGGATGCTTGATTGATGCAGCTATCATTGGATGTCGACAGGGTTTTATTCATATGGCTTTCATTGGTAAATAGTGGATGATCCGTTTTTGGGCTCCAATCCCAACCAACCCACTCTTTTATTATAGTATGTGGGATATTCAGCAAGCTACTTGTATTTTGGTCCTTTGGAATATTCATGGATGCAGCTATCATTGCTAAGTATCGTTCTATGGATTCGGGTCAAAGAGCAACGTCGACAGCATCCTTCAGTGTCAGCTTGCCTATTACATCGTTCGATGGTTTTCGTTACTGTACCACCTATTGGACGCTTCCTTTTATAAGCATCTACAGCGGCAAGGCAACAAGTTATATACCTTTCGGTGTCGCCAAGTTTTATCTCGTCTTATTGTGGTCCTAGTTGTTGACAATCCTTTCAATGGACATCCTGCTACGCATGCCTGTTATTGGTGGATCATATCAGCTACAAGCAAGAAGCAGCAATGAGCAACAGAGCCCTCATCTTTAGTGTCAGCAACATTTATTGATCCTCTGGTGGTTCTCGTTATTGGCAAATTGATTTCAAAAGCCCTCTTCACCGCACGTATCTTATGGATGTATCAAATCAGCAACAAACAACAATGTTACGTGTCCTTTTGCTGCTGTCAAGGTGTATCCATCTCTCATGGCATTCATCATCAAGTATCGCTTGGCGAAACGGCTATCAGAATTGGTCACTGTGTCGACATCTCTACAGCAAGGAAATGTGTTCTGATTACTGGGTGGCGTCAAACATCGTGGATTCTCATATGATACTGGCTAAGTATTGTTACCATTACCTCAAAGATAAATTAGTGATATGCGGTTTTATAGGCCCATCATTCCATCAAGCTATAATTTCGCATGCTCTTTGGTGGCATCAAAGTCTCTCCTTACAGCTGTCAATGGCGAATCCTATTGAATTGGAAGACGAAGATCAACATTTGAATTTGGGTGGGTGTCTCAGAAGCAAGCAAGCGATCTCTATCTTATAGTTGTGGTTGTCAAGGATACCGTTTCCATGGTTTTGGAAATCAGCTACCTGCAAGTCGTCTCTTTATCGGTGGATCTTCAGAGCAATGTTTTTATCGGTGCCATGGCGGATCTCATTCCTCAAGTACTTGTATGGATACCTTGGGCGTCCTCTTGGCTTCTCGCGTATGCTTTTCATCAAGACCGGATTTATTTGCTGCAGTGCATGATGTGTCTCTCATGACGCCTACCCAAGAAGGTCGCTTGATGGCAGCTACTACTGATATGGCGGATGTTTGTTTGCTATGGGTAGAACGGGATGGTACTTTGCTCTTTTGTGTAAAGCATCGTTGGCAGCTATGATTCATATGCGACAGTGTGGTCAGCCCTATCATGGCCCTATCAATTGCATTTGATGATTACTGCCTTAGCCGTTGGAAGTCAGCCTGTCACTCGGTGTCCTTGTGGTAGATATGGGATCATGTATTGCTTTTTGCTCTTACGGGTTGGCCTCTGTGGGCGTGGGATGGCTATTTTGTCCTTTTATCAGACCGAACATGTTGGCTCGAGCAGCACCTATAGAAG